ACAGTTAAAGATCAATCCAAGAGTTCTCCCACTAACAGGCACCCTGCAGGAGTGCTGTTTTGCACAACTTCTGAAAAGAGCTGAATGGACGGAAAAGAGATGTAAATCTCTCTCTTTCAAAATTGTTTTTTGAGAATCTGCTTTTACAGAGTTCATGAGTAAACAGCAGGAAAATAAGCTACAGCCTCAACCATATCTTGAGGACAGAGTCACATCTCCTGTGATAATCGCTTCTCCAAGGAAGGGCAGGAAACCAAGTCTTGGACTTTGACATCCTTGCAGTTTTATTATCTACCTGCCGCCGCTTTGGTTATCCACTGACAGCCATCGCTGTTTCTTCTCTCTTCAGCCCCCTTAAAATCAGCAAGCCACTTGGCCTCACCCTGGCACCCCCTTCTCTTTCTTTGGAATGCCAGGCCATCTCCCCACTCTCCCCGCCTTTCCTCTCTCTTTCACTCTGTCGTTCTATTTTTCTAAAAAGATAAAATAAACCTTTTTACTTTTATATGTCTTAATCTCTGCGTGAGAAATCCTTCTCCACCCATGCCGTGAGCACCTACTAGCCTTTCCACGCTAACAGCCACATGGTCAAAGCATCCTCTCCGTGGCCGGCTCTCCAGGCAGCTCGGGATCAGAAGGAAGTCTGCACTCCGCCTCCACCTAGTCCTTACCCCTGCCTGCCTCTGGGCAAGCGAGGCAGGACCCCCTGCTGTGCGTTCAGATTCCCGCAGCAGAGCGAGGCTACAGCAGCCACACGGGTGGCAAAGCCTCTGCAGCGGCAGCAGACAGCTTCCCTGGCAGCTGGGGAGAAGTGCTAATGAGGAGGGAGGTGTGGGGAAGGGCTGTGCCTGCCTGCGGTTGTAACAGTTTGCTCCTCTGGGCTCACGGGACCAAGGAACTCCCACAAGGAACATGCTTCTCAAGGGGAGGATGTTAGTGCTAATAAAGAATGCACGGAAGTTTGTGCCAGTCAACTTGCAGAAAGTGCCCAGTGCAAGCCTTTCTAAAGCAAAGACCCCTAGAGGGGTGCAGCGGTCTGTGCTCAACACAATGGGGACAAGCAGCCCAACCCAGAGGTCAAGTCTAGCCGTGGGGGCCACATAGACTAGAAGGCTAAGATGTGCCTCTACCACGGCTAAGGCCTCTGTGGAGGACACAGACCAGGCCCAGCCCTTCCGCAGCCCCTGTCCTTGCACCCGAGTCCAAAGCAAAAGCCCTTCTGTTAGTTTCCCAGGGAGGAAAGGGAAGCAGTAAACGCTCCAGCGCATCAAGGAGGTAACCAGGCACTGGATTGAAGAGAGGCAGGGACATAGCCTGCCCGGAGTTCAGGCTGTTCCCATCCTGCAAACTTTCCCCAGGAACAGTACACAAGGGTTTTCTTACCTGGAAGGATCCCTGGAATACAGTGCAGACACCTGCCGCTGACCCCCATCTCACACGCCTGCTCCTTGCTATGGCCTCATCTACCGGCCAGAAGGGGAGAGAAACCCTGGAGTCCTCCATCCAGGAACCAGGGCCAGCCCGGAAGAATGCAACAGCCATTAATGCTTATTCAGAAGCTACTGTGTGCACCCAGTGTCAGGCACAAAAGCACAAGGCAGCAGCGGATGCAAAGAAGAACCAAGACACAGTCCTGCCCCGGGAGAACTGTGTCTAAAACAATGAGTAGATAAAGTAGCTAATAGTAAATAAAGGCAGTGCATGAAAAGTCCTTCATGAGAGATGCTGTCCTTACAGCCAGGGACTGTGGGAAGCCAGAGCTCGATTAGCCAGCAGGTTTTGCTTCGCTGAGGGGACGTGGTGAGGGAGAAGATTGGGACCCACAGGGCTGAGAGGCTGAGGAGGAGAAGTTGGGGAGAAAGAGTATGTGGCAGCTCCCGGAGATAGAATAGTTGGGAAAACATAGAGATGTTCATAATTTTTTTTCTTTTAATGTGATCCACTGTTTGTAAATAGAGATGTTTAAATGGGACATAGGGGAATGTTTGGTACCTACCTACCCGTAGGTACCATGGAAAGTTCTTAACTTCCCACAAAACCTTTCATAAAATCTCCATGACTGGCCATTGTTTGGGAGATGAATTTATGTGGAGGGCTGCTAGCAGATGGGGCCGGCTCAGAAGGCCAGAGCTGGGGTGAGCCAAGGACGTCCCGACACTCCTGGGTGACCGCAGGAAGTGGGGGCTGCCTCCCTGGGAGTGGGGGGCCTGGTCAGTCAGGAAGTGGGTGCTTGGCTGAGCCTGGGACGATGGTGAGGAGAGAAGGGGGAAGGCTGTGAGGATAGGGGGACCCTTAGAAGAAAAAATATGTAAGATCATGTGAAACTGTAATAAAGCCTCAAGCCCTGGATGAGTGAAGAAATGTTTTGGGGAGGAGGGTGGGGAGGAGGGATTGAGGGGACGTAAGTCACTGACTCCAGTCTCCCCAGGCCTGTGTGTCATGAATTTCATCTGCTTATCGTCTCTCACTGAGGCTGACAAACACGCCCCTACCCCCGACAGGTGTCCTGACTCCAGTCTCCCCTCCACTGATGTGTCCCCTACACACATCAACACTAGAATAATCTTTTTAAAAGTGCAGCTCCCATTGTCTCATTCACTCGTATGTAAGGTCATTCACTGACCTCATCACCCACCCACCAGAATTAAGCCAAAACTCCAGAGCAGGGCATGGAGCACCCCATGACAAGGCCCTGGTCATCTTTCCCAGATCATCCACAGTCCCTTCCCTGTCACCCCTCACACCCTATCGCATTGAACCTCACACAGTTCCTCTAGCGCACCCTGCATTTGCTCACCACAGGGCCTTTGCATATGCTCCCTCCTTTGCCTGGGGTGCTTCCCCCAGCTGATTGCCAGCACCCAGGAAGCCTCCTGTGACCCTCCCTTCCTGTCACTGTCTTCCCACAGGATCTCACACCAGCATTAGGCTGACACTTGCCACACTATCTTGTTGCCACTTTAATGACAGGACCAGTCATCATCTTCTTTGCAGCCCAGCACCCAGCACGGGGTCCGGCTCCTCACTGGCATTTAGAAAATGTTCACCAAATAACTGAATTTGAAACTCAAAATATCTGACATAGAAGATACCCTTGGGGGTATCTTCTGGCATAGAAGATACTCTCCTTAGGGGAGTCTGTTCAACTAAGAAAGTTCCTTCTCTCTCTGGGAACTGCCGCAGACACCAACTGGACCACGGGTAGACATCTGACCGCAGCTGGGCCAAATGGACTCCCTCTAGGAAAGTGGAATTGACTCTAGAGAAAGCGGTTTATTTCTGGACCTATATAACAGGTATACTTTGGCATCGTGTAGCATGAGTACTGCCCCATTTCAACTGGACAGCAGAGAAAGTCACTCCTTAAAGAAAGGGAAGTGACCATACGGAGGATATCAGATGGCTTTCTGAGTCCCAATCCCAGCCCTCTCCTGAGACCATGGTTGATTCCTGCCCCTAGGTCCTGTGGCATGTCCCTGTTTACTAGTAGCCTGTCCCCTACTCCGTGTGTGAGTTTCATGGGGTTTCTGTTCCCTACACAGTCCTAGCCACACAGGACTGTGTGCGGCTTTGCATTCAGCAGAGTTGCTTGGGCTTTCTTTTCTTCAAAAAACTTTTATTTTAATAAATAAAGTATACTCGGGCAGAGATTAGACTTTAAATTGCACACACACACACAACCAGCTTTACATTAATAATTTGTGGAGCCCAGAGCAAAATGAAAATATGAGATCCTTTGTTCAAAAAGAAGTACCATTAAAGGCACTAAAATAGAAAGCTTTTTCCTTTCTTCTGCAGACTCTCTTTTGATTTTTCATAGTGTTTATTTTCTATTTAATGCCTCCCTAAGTAAAGAAAAATTAAAATTTTAAATTATTAGCATGAATTCTACCACTCATTTTTCTATTGTGCAATGCCCATATGCAGAATAACCAGAATTACACCATCTGTGTTTCTTGGCTCCTCCCAGAAGGTGCCTCAAGCTGGGCAGAAGAGGTGAGCTGAAGTTCCTCTTGGCACTGAACTGTCCAAGGGAGCACTCCACCGGGCACAAGGACAGAACTCATTTGCAGGCCAAGCGTAGAGCTCCCAAGGGTCCTGCAAGTTTGACAATGGTGGGGTTCCCCTTCCCACCAGCCACCAGACCTGTACACGGTGCCTGGGGCAGGATCTGGAAGTTGAACCGGGCATCTCCCCTTCCAGTGAGCTGACTGCCCCATAGCAGACAGGTTACCTCGGGGTTTTTAAACCTCTACACCAAGATGTGCTCAGTATCTGGTGGGCAACAGACTTACCCTCCCTCAGTTGCCTACTGAATGTGTCATGAAACTGCCAGGCAGGAACAGAGATGGCGACCATTGTGCCTGGCCCTGAAAGTCCACAGAGCGTGCACAACCCCACTGTGGCCTTTCCTGCATGCACACCAGGCCCTGGCCAGAGGCAGAGGGCAGCAGTGTTCACTGCGTGAGGTAGGGGAAGGCGGTGTCCAGGCTACCAGGGGGCTGGAAAGTGGGTGCCCATGAACCCATCCCATGGAGGTGAGTAGGTGTTGGGAGCCAACACCATGCATGAGCCATGGCTGCAAACCTCTGGCACAGCTGGTCCATCCAGCTTCACTTACAAAACACACATCCAAAGATAAAATTAGGAATTTCAGGGCAGCAGCTACAGAGCATGAAACCCCAAGTTCTGGGTCCTTCTGAACATGGACTCCCGTGTGACTATGCCGGTCATATGCCCATGAAATTGGCCCTGTACACTTAGAGAAGACCTCTAAACCTCATTCAATAACGTAAGTTCAGATACTGAAGCTGAAACAAAAGAAGGAAATCACGCTTCACTTCACATTAGAGAAACATAGAGCACCCAGACTCACAGGCCAGGAACCCCACTCACCCCTCACCCAAGGCCAAACTAAAGAACATATGCCTTGACCTTCCTTATCCCAGACTACAGAACAGAACAGAAGGTGTGGTATGTATGGATGAACTGGAATTCAATTTCTGAGCACTAATTTGGGCTTTATGCCAAAGTTAACACTTTATAATGCATTCAGCTATTCAAAGAGTATTTAATGAAAGACATAGAACAATATCAGAGCAGCAAAGAGGAGGAAACATTAATAGTTTCCTTTACCCAAATAACTTTGACTTCTATGGCTTATCAGTTCAACACGAGCTTCACTTCCTGGAGGCTTATATAAAAAACTTTCTGTTGGCATTAGCTCCAAACAAGGCCATTCGTATTTCTGGCATCTTTTGCTGGGCTGAGAGATCCAGTCGACTTTCCAAGGTATTGGAAACCTTTATTCTCTGATTGCCGCTGTAAACCTCCACGCCTCCAGCTGCGTTCACAGCCAGGAATGTTTCTTGATCAATCTGGACCTCCACATCTTTTTGGGAGAACATCATGTATTCAGGGATGGCTTTTTGCACTGCAGCCTCTACCAGGAGGAGGTCCTGTGGTCTGCAGCGCACGATCATCACAGGCTCCAGCAGTCGGAACAGAGCCTGGAGCACGAGTTTATCCAGCAGCTCCTGGTAGATGTCTGGGTCCTCCACAATATTGCTAAGTTTCAGCTTTGCATCTTGGAGCAATTCTGAGATGAGGTCATCTCGGGCTCTCAGGACTTGCAACCTTGCCTGATTCCTCATGGTGGACATCTGGATTTTCTTCTGCTGCTCTATCTGCTTCTCCTTCTTCTCATAGTACTCCATGATCTTCAGTCGTTGGGTTTGCACGAGGCGTCCTTTTTCAATGTTAAATTCTTCCTCAGCCTTGGCGTCTATTTCCTCTGCTTTTTCATTGGCTTCCTGCTCAATGAAAGCCATCATGTGCTTGATCTGCTTCTGTACATCGACGTCACTCAGTGCCATGGCTGCTCTCAGGAAGGGAGGTGGAGGGAGCGCTGGTGGACTCTCTGGTTCCTTTGATTTAGGGCAGAGTTTCAGGAGTGTCTTCAGAGTTCCACTCCCTCAGCTACAGAGTGCACAAGAGAGGGAGAGAGAAAGTCAGAGCCTAAAGAGAAGGGTCATGGAGACCATACATACTCCTCTCATTTCACAGATGAAGAAACAGGGGCCCAGAGAGGGAAAATAAATTGTCCAAGGTCATAGTCTAGAGGAACAAAGGCTTGAACCTGGGTCTACTGAGTTCCATCCCTGCTGCGCTAGCTGTCTTTTTGTCATCAAATAATAACGAGGCACTTAGGGCAGACCTATCCAGAAGCTCTTTAGGCAGTGATGGCCTAAGATTTAGATAATACACCAACAGAGTAGAAATATAAAATTAATACATAAATGGAAAGTGTATCCACATTTTGGGTGAAAAAGCCTGGGAAAAGTCATAAGAAACTGATGGTTAGACAGAATTCAATTCATAAGGTGCCTGGAGACAGAAGGGTTAATTGTACCTTGAGAAGATCTGGGAGGTAGGAGGAGTTGAGGGTAGTCTTTTTACTGGGGGTGGTTTGCAAAGCTGGATGTGTATATGAATCACCTGAGGGATCTTTAAGAAACACAGCTCTCCAGGTCCCACCCCATACCTACTGAATCAGAATCTCTACCAATAGGGTCTGGGAATCCATATCTTTAAATGGCTACCTGGGATGCTCAACAAACATAGGAAAATGATGTATGAACAAAATGAAAATATCAACAAAAAGACAGAAATATAAAAATGAACCAAACAGAAAGTATGGAGCTGAAGAATGCAGTTACTGAAATGGAAAACTTCACTAGAGGAGTTCAACAGCAGACTTGATCAAGCAGAAGACAGAATCAGTGAACTTAAAGACAGGTCATTTGAAATTATTCAGTTAAAGGAGTAAAAGGAAACAAAGAATGAAAAAGAGTGAAGAATGTCTAAGGAACCTACGGGACACCATCAAGAGGACAAAAATATACATTATGGGAGCCTCAAGAGGAGAAGATTAAGAGAAAAAGACAAGAAGCTGTTAAATAAATAATGGCCCAAAACTTCCCAAAACTAGGGAAGTAAATGGATAATCAGATTCAGGAAGTCTAATGGACTCCAACTAAGATAAACTCAAAGAACTACACATTGAGACACATTATAATTAAACTATCAAAAGATAAAGAATTTTGAAAGCAGCAAGAGAAAAAAGTTTTGTCACAATTAAGAGAGTTTCTGTAATATTACCAGTGGATTTCACAGCAGTTACCTTGCAGTCCAGGAAGGAATGGGATGATATACTCAAAGGGCTGAAAGAAAAAACCCTGATAACCAAGAATATTATATTTAGAAAAACTGTCCTTAAAAAATGAAAGAAAAACAAAGACTTTCCTACATAAACAAAAGCTGAAGAAGTTCATCACTACTACACCTGTCTTACAGGAAATGCTAAAGGGAATCCCTCAATTGGAAACAAAAGGACGCAAGACAACAACTTGAAAGTAAAGTATAAAGCTCACTGGTAAAGATAAATATATTGGCAAATACAGAATACTATACTACTGTAAGAGTGGTATATAAATCACTTTTAATTCTGGTATAGAAGTTAAAAGACAAAAATATAAAAAGTAACTATAACTATAAAAATATGTTAGTGGATACATAATATAAAAAGATGTAATTCATTACATCAATAACAATGTGGTGGGGGAAAGAGTTTTTTTTACTTGACTGAAGTTAAGTTGTTATCAGGTTAAAATAAGTTGCTATAATTAGAAGATATTTTATGTAAGCCCATGGTTGCCACAAAGAAAATACCTATAGAAGATACACAAAAGAAAATGAGAAAGGAATTGAAGCATGTTGCTACAAAAAAATCAGTGAAAACACAAAGACAATAAGAAAGGAAAAGGGAGACAAAAAGCTATGAGACAGAAAACAATTAATAAAATGGCAAGTCAGTCCTTCCCTATCAGTAATTACTTTAAATGTAAATAGATTAAATGCTCTAATCAAAAGACATAAAGTAGCTGAATGGATAAAACAATAAGATCTCACTATATCCTGTCTACAAGAGACTCCATTAGAGTTAAGGACATGTGTAGGCTGAAAGTAAAGGGAGGGAAAAAAGATATTCCGTACAAATAGTAACAAAAAGAGAGCAGGGGTGGCCATACTTATATCAGACAAAATAAAGTCAAAAACTGTCACAAGATACAAAGACACTATATAATGATAAAGGGTCAATTCACATATATGATAGAACAGTTATAAATATATATGTACCCAATGTCAGAGCACTCAAATATATGAAACAAAAATTGACAGACTTGAAGGAAGAAATAGCAACACAATAATAGTAGGAGATTTCAATACCCCACTTTCAGAAATGGATAGAACATTCAGACAGGAGACCAGTAAGGAAATAGTAAGGAACCAGTATTGAACAATACTATAGACCAAATGGACCTAACAGACATATACAAAACATTCTACACAACATATTCTTCTCAAGTGCACATGGAACATTCTCTAGGAGATATCACATTATGTCATAAAACAAATCTTAACAAATTTAAAAAGATCAAAATCATATGAAGTATCTTTTCCAACCATAATGGAACAAAACAAGAAAGCAACAGCAGAAAGAAAACTAGAAAAATCACAAATATGTAGAAATTAAACCACATACTCTTAAATAACCAAGAGTTAAAGAACAAATCAAAAGGAAAATTAGGAAATATCTTGAAATAAATGAAAATGAAATACAACAAACCAGAACTTATGGGATGCAGCAAAAGCAGCTCTAAGAGGGAAGTTCATAGCAGTAAACACCTACATTAAAAAGGAAGAAAGAGCTCAAATAAATTACCTAACTTTACACCTCAAAAAGTAGAAACAGAAGAAATAACTAAGCACAAGGAAGAAAATAATAAAGATCAGAACAGAAATAAATGAAAGGGAGAGTATAAAAATAGAAAAAAATCAATAAAACTAAGAGTTGGGTTTTTTTTTTTAAAAGAAACAATGTTGACAGACCTTTAGTAGGCTAAGAAAAAAAGAAGACTCAAAATCTGAAATGAAAGAGCACACATTACAACTGATGCTATAAAAAAGGATTATAAGAGACTACTATGAACAATAATTTGTTAACAAATTGAATAACCTAGAAGAAATGCATCATTTTCTAGAAGCCTACAACCTACCAAGAATGACTCATGAAGAAACAGAAAATTTGACCAGGCCTATAAATAATAAGGAGATTGAATCAAAAATGTCCCAATGAAGAAAAGCCCAGGACCAGATGGCAATACCGGTGAATTCTACTAAATATTTAAAGAAAAATGCCAAGCCTTTTCAAGCTCCTCCAAAAAAATTGAAGAAGAGGAAACACTTCCAAACTCATTTTATGGGGCCAGCATGACCTTGGCACTAAAGCCAAAGACACTACAAGAAAAAAATTTTAAACTATAAGCCAATATCCCTGATGACTATAGATACAAAAATCCTCTACAAAATACTAACAAACTGAATTCAATAGTCTGTTAAAAGGATCCCATGACCAGGTGAAATTTATCCCTGGAATACAAGGATAGTCTGACACATGAAAATCAGTGTGATGTGCCACATTAACAGAATGAAGGATAAAAATCACACGATTATCTCAATAGATATCAAGAAAACATTTGACAAAATTCAACACCTTTTCATGATAAAAACTAAGAATAGAAGGAAGTTGTCTCACTATAATAAAGACTATTTATGAACAGTCCATAGCTGACATCATACTCGATGATGAAAAACTGAAAGTCTTTCCTATAAGATCAGCAGCAGGATAAGGATGCTCACTTTGGACACTTCTATTCAAAATAGTATTGGATGTCCTAGGTAGAGCAATTAAGCAAGAAATAATTATAAATAAAGGGCATCCAAATTGGAAAGGAACAAGTAAAATTATCTCTGTCTTCAGATCACATGATCCTATATGCAGAGGACCCTAAAAATTCCACATACAAAAAAACTGTTAGAATGAATAAATTCAGCGAGTTTGCAGGATTCAAAACAACATACAAAAATTAGTTGTTTCTATATACTTACAACGAACAATCTGAAAAGGAAATTAAGAAAATAATCCCATTGATGATAATATCAAAAAATACTTAGAAATAAACTTAACCAGGAGATGAAAGATTTGTGCACTGAAAACTATAAAACATTGCTGAGAGAAATTAAAGACACAATTAAATGGACATCCCACCTTCACAGATTGGAAGACCTAATATTGTTAAAATGTCCATACTAACCAAAATGATCTACAGATTCAGTGTAATCCCTGTTGAAATCCCAATAGTAATCTTTGCAGAAATAGGAAAAAAAGAAATCCTTATATTCATGTGGAATCACAAAGGACTCCAAATAGCCAAAACAATCTTGAGAAAGAATAACAGAGCTAGAGTTCTCACACTTCCTGACTTCAAAACATATTACAAAGCTAAAGTAATCAAAACAGTATGTATTGGCATAAGGGCAGACATATAAAGCATTGAAACAGAATGGAAAGCCCAGAAATAAACCCTACATTTGCAGCCAAATGATTTTCAACAAGGGTGCCAAGACAACACAATGGGGAAAGGATAATCTCTTCAATGAATGGAGTTGTTAAAACTGGATGTCCATGTGCAAAAGAATGAAATTTGATCCTTATCTTAGACATACACAAAAATCAACTTAAAATTGATTAAAGACTTAAACATAAGGCCTGAAACTATAAAACTCTTGGAAGAAAAGATAGGTGAAAAGTTTCATAACATTGGTCTTGGTGATGATTTCTTGGATATGACACCAAAAGAACAGACAATAAAAGCAAAAATAGACAAAATGGGATTACATCAAATTAAAAGGTTTCTGTGCAGCAAAGCAAATAATCAACAGAGTGAAAGGGCAACCTTTCCCAATGAAGGAAAGGTTCATTTCCTTCATTGGGAAATGGAATGGAATGGAATGGAAAAAATATTTGCAAACCATGTATCTCATAAGGAATTCATATCTGAAATATATAAAGAACTCTTACATCTCAATAGCAAAACAACAACAACAACAACAAAACACCCAAAGTAGTTGATTAAGAAATGGGCAAAGGACCTGAGTGGACACTTCCCCCCCCAAATCAAACAAATGGCCAAGAGGTACACGAAAAGATGCTCAACATCAGTAATCATCAGGGAAATGCAGATCAAAAGCACAATGAGACATCACCTCACACTTCACACCAGCCATTATAAAGAAAAAGGAAAGAAAAAGAAAATAAGTGTTGGCAAAGATGTACAGAAACTGGAACCCCTGTGTGCTGTTAGTGGGAATGTAGAATGGTGCGGTCACTACGGAACACAGTATGGAGCAGGCGTCCTTAAACTACGGCCCGCGGGCCACATGCGACCCTCCGAGGACATTTATCTGGCCCACCAGGTGTTTTTGCCACCGCTGCCTGTCCTGCTTAGCAGCCGACTCATCCCAGGCCCACAGTGCGCGTGTGTGGAATGTGCACTGCACTCTCCAACAGCCCTCCAACGGTCTGAGGGACAGTGAACTGGCCCCCTGTTTAAAAAGTTTGAGGACCCCTGGTATGTAGCTTCCTCAAAAAGTTAAAAACAGAAGAACCATATGATCCAGCAATCTTACTTCTGGATATTTACCCAAAAGAATTGAAAACAGGATTTCAAAGAGATATTTGCACACCATTCATTGCAGCATTATACACAATAGCTAAGCGGTAGAAACAACCTAATGTTCATTGATGGATGATGAATAAAGAAAATATGGCATATGCATAAAACAGAATATTATTCAGCCTTTAAAAGGAAGAAAATCCTGTCACATTTTGCATCATAGATGAACCTCGAGGACTTTATTCTAAGTGAAATAAGCCAGTCACAGAAGGATAAATACCGCATGATTCCACTTACATGGGTTATCTAAAGTACTCAAACTGAGAAGGGGAAAATAGAATGATGGTCACCAGGGCCTGGGGGAAGGGGAAATGGGGGTTGCTTTCAATGGGTGTGCAGTTTCAGTCATGCAAGATGAAAAAGTTCCAGAGATTTGTTGTATAATAATATGCATGTAGTTCACAATACTCGACTGTACATTTAACAACTTACAAGGGTAGATGTCACATTATGTGTTTTGGGGGACCATACACACACACACACACACACACACACAAAAGGATGTCCCAGAAAGAGGTATCACTGAATGAGCTTAGTGGAAAAACAGCCCAGTGTTTGTGACAAAGGCCAAGCCCCTGGGTTCAACCTTATAAACTGTCATTGGAAGTTAAAAGGAAAATTCATTAGCTCATCTACTCCCCATTATTTAATGATGTACTCTTTTAAAAACTGTGTTTTTGTAAAGAGAGGAAAACAATCTCTGCTCCTAAATAAGACAAGTCAATTAATGATTTTAAAAGACTGGCACCTGAGTAACCGTGCTGGTCACCGGCTTTGGGAGCCACCATCAATGAAAGCAGAAAGGATGCAAGATCCAGGAAGCTCCAGGACATGTGTGTGGAGGAAAAAACATACCAGAGAACACTCACCAGTCCCTTGCCAAGGGCCAGCCTCTGCTCCGGCGCCGGGAGTCTGCACGCAGAATGTGGAACTTGGAAAGCACTCTGGAACCTGGCACTCTTGTTTCCCTCTTTGTCCAGACGACCCTCGCAGGCTGACCAGGCAGCGTGAATCCAAAGAGCCAGGCTGTCACTGGGGAAGGCTGGCCAAGTCTGCCATGAGGAGGCCAACAGGGATTTCCTTGGCAGCCGAGCCGTGGCCGGGGCTGTCCTGGCACACTTAGAATCTCAATTAAGTTGGCACACGGTGGGCTTCAGCTCTGGGGTGGGCTCATCTCAGCAGATATGTATGTGGACCCAGACAGCCAATTTGTTAACTTACAAATGAAAAACACAGCTGTCATGCTGGCAGATCATGGCCCCCTTTCCCTGTGTGTGAGTCACACGTGAGGCCAAATCCAATGGTTGTTTAATAAGAAACCAGCACAAGCAAAATCTACCAGATGCTCTTTAAGGGAGCCACACTCGCCATGGGGGCTGCCGTGCTCGGGCCCATGGGGGAGGGCAGCCTCTCAAGGCCCAGACGGGCCTCGGTGGGCATCCCAGCTTGTGCAGCTTGGGCCGCGCAGCCAGACTGCCGGAATTCGGATCCTGCTTCTGCACTTACCATCTGTACAACTCTGGAAAAGCAGCGCAGCCCTAGAAGCCTCAGTTTCCTCATCTGTCTAATGCAAATAATAATAGCACCCGCATCCTAGAATTATTGTGAGGATTCGGTGAGAGAAGTCAATGTTTAGCACAATGCTGGGCCCATAGTTAATTTTCATGCCTGGTAGTCGCTATTACTATCATCGTTACTATTAATACTACTACTATTAATATTATTATTATCCCTTCTCTGATTTAGGCTTCATTCCACATCACAGTCAGATATATGAATGATTTGATTTCCACTCAAGCAGAAATATATCCTAGTCTTGCCTCCTTGCATTAAACTTAGTAGCCCTGCCTGGAGCTTAGGGACACCCCATCTCAATACTTCATGGCACCTTCGCCCAAATCTCAGGTTGTCACCATATCCTTGCTGATGGTGGGGGAAGTTCCCCAACCCTGGGGCTCTGGGCAGGGAGTGAAGTGGAGTCACCTCGCAGCCTGTCACACACCTCGCACCCTGTCCCTGAGCTCTCACATCCCCTCCCTGCACCTCCACTTCTAAACAGCTCATTAATGCTGGGCTCCAAGGCAGCTGCAGGGTGGGGCGGGCGCTCAGGGATTGAGCAAGTGTCTGCAGGAATGCGCGTGCCCGTGTAATATGTCTGGCAGATGTGACTTCCAGTCTGTCTGGGATGGGAATTATAAGCCCACATGGGCCTGTGGCTTGAGCACATCAACAAAACAAACCAAAAAATGGGAAATGCACGTCTGCTCTTGCATGGAGGCTCAGACCCCTCCACTCCCCGAGGCAGGCTTGCGCTGCAAGCCGCAGCTCCCTGCCTGTGCTTGGGGCTGGGGCCGCAGGTCGGCCTCTCCAAGCCAGACTCACATCCCATAAATGCTTCACTTCTGGGGTCTCTTTGTTGCCCCCAAACACATCAGGCTCAGTCCCACGTAACAGCTGTGGCTCATCTGTTCTCTTGGCTAAAATGCACTGCTCTCCTTTCCTCCACTCACTAAATAAATCCCACATTCTCAGGCCCAGTTTAAGCCCCACCTTAAACCATCTCCTTGACCTCCGGACTCCTCCTCAAAATGACGCCAGCGTGGCCTGTTTTCCAGACACAACTCGGAGATGGATTCAGTGTCCTCTGTTGTTCCAGTTATTAATATTTTTGCTTTCTCCAGGAAACCTTCAGAATAAGAATCTCCTTCCCAAGCAGGGCTGGGTGCAGACAGGTGCTCCTTAAACATGGATTGGCAGCAGGAGGGACGACTTCGTTTTTGTGCCTTTTTTGTTGTGAAATGTAATACACACTCAGAAAAGCACTTAGAATGTAAATGTATGGTTTAATGAGTTAATATGAGGCAAATGTTCTGTAACTACCACCTAGGTCATGAGATAGAACATTGCCAGCATCCAAGAAGCCCCTCTCTATGGCCTCGGGGAAGGAGACAGTACCAAATGGTGATTGTGTATTGTGGGCGTAGGAAGAGGCCTTAGAGGAAACACGAACTTGAAGATCTGGAAGCCCGGCATCCACAGCCCCGCCGGAGGAAGGAATGGTGGGAATGCTCGGTGGGCAAAATGTGTCTGTCAGCCTGGATCCTGCCCAGACCCTGAAGCAACTGTTCATTCCAGCTGGGATTTGGGAGCACGTCTGAGGCCAGACGTGTCTGGGTGTGGGCTCCCCACCCCTGGCAAAAAGGGAGGCAGCACCCAGCGTGGGCCTCCAGACACTTAGAGATGGCAGAGTGAGGAAGGGAAGGGGCTTTCCAGGGCTGGGAGCACAGGGCAACTTGCAGGGCCCAGGAAACGGGTGGGAAAATTCACAGGAGTAATGACTCCTTTGGGGATTCCAAATATTAAATATGTGGGAAGAGGGCACCCCCTCTCCTGTCTTTGTTGTATTTGTTGAACACCTACATGTGGCAGGCACTGTGAGAGCACCAGAAATAAAGAACAAGGCGGATCCCAGGTCTGCCCCTCAAGCCCACAATGTAGCAGGGAGAGGAACCCATGAGCAGGTCATTACGTGGCAGTGTGGTGTGTCAGGAATCAGCAATTTCAAGAAGGCTAAGCATGAAGAGGTCCCATCCCTAAGCCTCTCTTCCCAGCTCATCATGGGCTCTTTTATAATGCATTGCCCTGCAGACAGTGAAACCTGGTAGCGGGTGGTTTGAGAACTCCCATCAGTAACACTAGAACACCAATGGGGAGAGAGGTGGATGGAGATGAATAAAAGGACATAAATCAATTTAGGAAAACTCAGACAAGAAAATGAGGTTTCAGGGCACATCAACATAGTACCTTAACTTGCAGGCAAGTCACCTGGAAAAGGTAGAAAGTTGGTAGTGTTCATTAAGGAGAATCTATCCAAATGGACAAGAATCGATCAAGTCTTTATAGAGACCCAACTCTAAGCAATGCCTCGGGGTTTCCAGAGAGGGAGTGGTCCTGTGGGCGCAGGGTCAGGCAGGCAGGAGGAGGGAATATGGGCATTGAAGGACGGACCTCTGGCATAGTAGAAAGAAGAAAGACAGTCTAGCCAGGGAGAATGCTGTGAGCAAGGAGACAGTGGTGGGAAGAGGTAGGAGGTCTGGGTACAGGTTAAACAGGTTTGTTTGTTGCAGTGAGACTGGGCAAGGTTGGAAAGGTCAGCTTGAGAGTTGCAGCATTAAGCAAAAGAGCCCATCAAAGGCTCTGAGCAGGCTTGAAACTTGGCCAAACCTGGGTTCAGGAAGATCACCAGCCTGGCGGTGGCAGGGGCAGGAGAGTCTGGCTATAACCCCAATGCCGGGGGGAGACTGCACAGAGGAGGTGCCGTGTATGAGATGAGGTGTTAAGAATGGAAGGAGACGTGTCCCAAGGTGTCAGGCTTGGGGGCTCAGCGTCTGGCCTACACAGGACAGAGCAGTTTGGTCCGGGGTAAGGGGAGGGGGGAGCAGGAACAGGCGCCCTGTTCCCTCGGGAGTAATCTGGGAGAGAAAACAGAGCAAGAGAGTGCATTGGTGTGAAAGTAACAGGAGACACCTAGGGAGAAAATCAGAAGTACCTGAAAAGCTTTGTCTCTGCTTCAGCTGCAGATGAGTAAGGGCCACATACAATTTTATTCCAAGGACTCCACCCCCAGTGACAAAGTGGGCTTTCGTAAGGGCTAGAGAAAGCTAATGCCTACAGGCAGGGGAAGAAACATTTCTCCCAAAATAATCTATGTTATTCACAACTTAATTTCTCCTTCTAAAACATCTGAAGGCAGGTAGGTTACTTCAAAGCAGTCAAGCTCTCCCCAAGAGCCATTTGCTTCAAAGTGACATTACTAAAGGTTTCCAGCCGCAGTCTCCCCCAAAAGAAAAGCCCTTCAGTTCTATCCCTGTCTATAGGGGCAAACACTACCTAGGGCCATGCCTCACTGCCTTAGAAAATGTGAACCGAGGGTTATAAGATCTGCTTTTTTGGGCAAGCTGGAAATTCCATTTTAAAAGTAAAATCTGGCCAGGCACAGTGACTTCATGCCTATAATCCTAGCACTTTGGGAGGCTGAGGTGAGAGGATCACTTGAGGCCAGGAGTTGGAGGTTGTGGTGAGCTATGATGACACCACTGCACTCCAGCCCTGGAGAGAGAGCAAGACCCTGTCTCGAAAATGAACAAATCAATAAACAATAAATAAAAGTAAAATCTTTTTGTTTCTTTTATCATGGTAAAATGTACATAATGAATTTTGCCATTTAACCATTTTGGAGTGTGTACTTCTGTGGCATTGAAATACATTTACATGTTTTGTTTTTTTTTTTTTTGAGACAGAGTCTCGCTCTGTTGCCCAGGCTAGAGTGAGTGCCATGGCATCAGCCTAGCTCACAGCAACCTCAAATTCCTGGGCTCAAGCAATCCTCCTGCCTCAGCCTCCCAAGTAGCTGGGACTACAGGCATGAGCCACCATGCCTGGCTGGTTTTTTCTATATATATTTTTAGTTGGCCAATTAATTTCTTTCTATTTTATAGTAGAGACAGGGTCTCATTCTTGCTCAGGCTGGTTTCGAACTCCTGACCTTGAGTGATCCGCCCACCTCCGTCATTCACATGGTTTTGCAACCAACACCACCATCGGTCTCAAGAACTTTTTCATCTTCCCAAACTAAAACTCTGTACTCATTAAATACTAATTCCACAGCTCCTCATAGCTGCTGACAACCGTCATTCTACTTTCTGTCTCTATGAATTTGACTACTCTAGGTACCCTGTAAGTGGAATCATATGATATTTATCCTTTTTTGACTGGCTTATTTCACTTACCATGATGTCTTCAAAGTTCATCATATTGTACATATGTCAGAATTTTCTTCCTTTTTAAGGCTAAATAACATTTCATTGCATATATACAGCATCTTTTGTTTATCTATTTATCTACCCATAGACACTGGGTTGCTTCTACCTCTTGGCTATTGTGAATAATGTTGCTATGAACATGAATGTACAAATATCTGTTCCAGTCACTGCTTTTAATTTTTGGGATATACAGCCAGAAGTGGAATTGCTGGACATATGGTAGTTCTATGGTCAGTGTTTTGAGAAACCTCCATACCATTCTCCACAGCAACTGCACTATTTTGCAATCCCACCAGCAATGCACGAGGTCCCATT